CCTTGTCCCAGGGTCAGCCTCCCAGTCACCCAAAGGGCCAACAGGGGCTTCACAGGGCCCTAGGGTCAGCCCCATCCACCCATCAAAGGGCCAATTGGAACAGGGCCCTGGGCTCAGCTATGCACCCCACCACTGAAGGGCCAGCAGGGGACCACACAGGGCCCTAGGGTCAACCTCCATCCCCCACCAAAGGGCCAATGGGGGGAACCCAGGCTGGGGCTCACCGTGATGGGGAAGTAGTCGCGGAAGTGCCTCCAGACGCCCCAGTGGCGCACCCAGGCGGAGCGGCGGCCCCCGCGGGAAGGGGTCTCCCGGTCCAGGTAGAGCCAGGCAGCGTAGAGCAGGGCCGGCAGCCACAGCTCACCCAGCAGCGCCAGCAGGAACAGGGCCAGGCAGCACTGCGCTGCGGGGCAGGCAAGTTAGGGACTGCCCCCCCCCAGGCTGCTGCTTCCCCCAGGGCCCCCACCCCAAGGCCCCAAGCCTCCCAGGGCTGCTCTGCTCCCCAGGGCACCTGCCAGCCTGCCCACACACTCATCCCAGGGAACCCAGCCCTCCCTCCCCAGAACTCTCTCCAACCACCCACCAGCCTACCCACACACCTGCCCCAAGGCACAGTCCCCCAGGGCTGCTGCTCCCCACTCCCAGGCACCCCCTCTTCCACCTCCCCCAGGAACCATCCAATGCCCGTCCCCACAGAGCTTCCAGCCCCTTCCCCCAGCACCCCACAACTCCAGGTGGCAGCTTAGTTTCCCCCCCTAGCAGACCGGGGGGAGGGGGGGGGAAGAAGGGGACTTAGTGTGAGGCAGGGTCCCACCCCCGCAGAGGACAGACCAAGATGCCCCCAGCAAATAGGGGCGCTTCCCCGCGGGGGTCGCAGCTACGCATCCTCCTAGGACACCCCCTGCACTTGTGCACAGCCCCCCCAGGTCTCCAAGCAAGGAGTAGGGGGGCAGGGGAACACCTCGCTGCCAGCTGGGGGGCAGGAGAAACACCCCAAGTCAGAGCAGGGAGACACCCCTATGTCAGCGACTGGCGCCCCCCGGCGAAGGGACCCGGGCAGAGGAGAGGGTGCCCTAGAGCCGCATCCTCCTAGGACACCCCCTGCACTTGTGCACAGCCCCCCCAGGTCTCCAAGCAAGGAGTAGGGGGGCAGGGGAACACCTCGCTGCCAGCTGGGGGGCAGGAGAAACACCCCAAGTCAGAGCAGGGAGACACCCCTATGTCAGCGACTGGCGCCCCCCGGCGAAGGGACCCGGGCAGAGGAGAGGGTGCCCTAGAGCGGCTGTTGGGCGCCCCCGGACCCTCACCCAGCGCCAGGAAGGAGAAGACCCATTGCAGGACCGCGGCGGTCTGCAGCCGGCGCCGCAGCGGGGGGCGCGG